GAAAATTTCATGTCATTAACACCTCTAGTTATATATTTACTGAGAAAAATGGTGACGTCTTCATTACTTATTTTACCCGCTGAATGTAATGCGTTTAGAATGCAGTTTGGCGGATTTATTCTTCTTCGATGGAAGGATCCACATCCTCCAGTATATGGTCATTGGTTAAGAGAAGTTATGTCTTACATTCATTTAGAGAAGATAAGATATATTGTTAGGGGATCTGTAAAAAATTCTTCGATATCTGGCAGCCATATATATCTTATGTAGAAAAAATTTCGGAAGATAATTTTGTATAAAGGTTAAATATTGTTTCATATACACAAACCTGCTCATTATATCATTTGATGTATTCAAGATCTTTTTTTTTTTGTTATTTCAGTGGATCTGGTATAGGAGGGGAGGGATTTTGGGTGTGTGTGTTTTGTTTTGTGTTTTTGTAAGTCTGTTCTTTTTTGTGGTTTGTTTAAAAAATTTAATAAAAAAAGACCTTGATCAAAAGAAAATGCTGTATATTGTAAAACTAACTTAAATACATTTTTCACATCATAGTTACATCTGTGTCAGTGTTCACAAACAACCTATAATGTTTTTGTTGAGGAATAACATAACATGCTAAAAGCAAGAACAAAAGTAAATTTAACATAATATCCCCCATACACTAATTAACAGAAACCACCATACAATAACATTTCAAACCCATAACAGCATAATCATACCAGTATTTCAACAGGAACTTCGGAGGGGAACGTTGCCTCTCTTCCATTCATAAGGAGAAATGGTGAGTGTTTGGTTGTGGTGTGCACTTTTGACCTCAGCGAAAACAAAGTGGGCTCTAGAAACCGATCCCAATCATCCTGCCTGTCATTAACAAGTTTCCTGAGYGCCCTAGAAAGAACAGTTACACATGTTTTCATAAGGAATACTAGAATCTTGAGTTCTTATCATTAATGATTGTAGTTTTGAACAGATTTATAAAACAATATATATATAAATACTAAATATCAGTGAAGTTTCTTACCAAACTTTACCAAGCCCAAAGAAAGTGCTTGTTACTTTGGTAAGCGACTGTCCAAACATTTTTAAATACTGTACATGATATACTGTTGTAATTTATTTTTTACCGTTTAATGTTGTCATTGGTTTTTTCATCCAACCCGTTTGTCTGAGGATGATATGCAGCTGTGACACTACTCTCAATTGAAAGAAGTTCACAGAGTCTGCTGTTGATCTAAAAGAACAACAAAACACATTATGATTACATTTTTTTATAGATTGATGTCTTCAGTTGTATTAAAAATAGCTTACTTGATTCACAAACTCTCATCCTTGGTCTGAAAGGATGCGTTCAGGACAACCGTGCCGATAAATCATGGAGCACAAGTTTTTGGCTACTTCCTCTGCAGACTTGGTTTCTAGAGGGAAAGCTTACACCCACTTGGAGAAGTAGTCAGTGGCTGTCAATAGGTACTGGAAGCCAGAAGATGTCTGGGGAAGCAGGCCTGTCAGGTCGATTCTGACCAATTCCCACACACGTGACACCTGTTGGTGATAGATGAAATGTTCATAAACAGAAACAGCTTAGGAGTAATAAACTATGGGATTTACAGTGGACATTTACCTCGATGCAATCCAATGTCTTCTCTATTCTCAGTGGTGGTCCAACCCTTTGGCACTTGTCACATTCAGACACCTTGAAAATGTTAGTTTCAGTTTTAGAGATGAAGACATTTCAGCTTAAATCTATTGCTAAGAATGTGACAACATACCCATTTTTCTATGTCTGCTGTCATGCCAGGCCAATAAAATCTGGAACACATGGAGTTGCGAGTTTTCACAATTCCAGTGTGTCCTCCCATGGGTGAAGCATGAAATTCCTTGAAAAGGTTCCATGCCTTCTCTCGATTTTATGGCCCTCCTTTGAGGCAAGGCTCCAAAGAACAGGTTCCCAGCTTTATTGAAAGAATTTACATTATTATTATATCATTATAGAAAACATTGTGTCTGTTTAAAATATGAAAACCTTACCACGAATGCTAAATTTTGAGGCAAACTTCCTGAGACTTTGCCCCCTTGTAAATTTTGATGGGTAGGAACCTTCAGAAAGAAGGTTAAAGATCTCCTCCCATTTTCTCTCCATATTTGATCTAAATGCCAATAAAAAAGCAATATAAATTACATAAGGGTTAGACAAAGATATTTTTCAAGCTGTCCAGAAAAACTGTTCACAAAATCTGGTTGTCTGTGTTAAGACCCTTGGTTTGAACTCTGATAAATTGCCGAACACAAAAACTGGTTTAAAATATTTATTATACAAAAGGGTATTAATGTTGGTTGTCTGGCAGGAAACTGGGACTGGACTGGTTTCTTCTGGACACAGAGAAAAAGGTGTTAGTGACAAGGCAAGATTGGATGAATAAACTCAAAGTAACTAAGACCACTGACCTGGTTTTACTGAAGTGGTCCGACAGGAAACACTGATAGAGTCCAGATGTTTCTGGTTCCAGGCAATGTTTTCAACGTAAGGTTTGGGTGACAGTTTTGGTCCGTTGGGCAAAAACAGAGTCGGGACAGGCAAGGGTCGAGATCAGAGAGAGAGTTCTATTTACCAGGTTTGAGGGGTGAAGCTGAATCCGTAAGTCCGTGAGGCAGGCGTGGGTCATACACCAAGAAGTCCGAGTTGTTGTGGTGCCGACAAGGAGAGAGACGAGAGGCGTAAATCCAAGACACTGAACCAGGGTCAATACCAGGAGGACAGATGGCTGGACAAATCCGTTTGGGGCTGAGGCAAAAATCGAGAGACCAAAGGACAGGCAGAGGTTCAGAGACACAAGGCGATAGCAAGGCATGGGGACAAGAATGCTGGTGAGTAACAGAACTAGGCTGATGACAAACTGGCAGGGAAGTAAGGCTGAGAGCAGGAATATATACTGAGGGGAACAGGTGAGTGGAATGAGCTGATTGAATGAGGGAGGGGGAGCTGTGTATCTGTAATTGGTACTGGCTGTGACAGGAGCAGAGTGGTGATTGAGAACTTGGCATGGCAAATAACTGTGGAAAGCAAAATAACAAAAAAAGAGGCAGGACTGGGCATACAGGGCAAAAATCCTAACAGTCTACCAAAAATTGTGGATGTCCTTTACAAAAAAAAAGTTTACTATACACAAATAACAGTTTGAGGAGCTGATTGAGTAAAACTTCCTCATTCTCCTCCTCATGCTCATCCTTGTCATTAGACTTGACAAAGAGAGGCACACAGAGTATTTAAGGCTCAGGGATTAAAGCAGCAAAAAATACTTTGAAAAGTTTTAAGCAGGCATCACCCTCCACCACCACCCAGTACCACACCTTCGTGAGCTTCTTCCTGCACACAGGTCAAAGGTGAGGCATTTTGGTGTTTTCGCCCCCTGCCTCCCGTTTTTGGCACTGCACTAATCACCCACACCTGCACTGAGTTGAGCTCATCACCTTCAGGCTTTATAAGGCAGTGCTGGAGTTCATCTCGTTGCTGAAGCATCGCCTCTGTTTGGATATGAGCTCAGCCTACTACCTGTTATTTTGATGAAGAAATTATCTCACCTGTGTACCTGTTACCTGCCTGTTTTCAGAAGCGACCTCCAGCACGTTAAACCTCCCGCCTTGGAACTCGAGCCAACTCACCAGGATCTCATGCGCTGCCTCCCACGTAACACTATAAATAAGTCTGCACCCGTAAATACTCACCTGTGGAACTTCACCTTCTGGACCTACTCCTCCAAGTTTCATCACCTTCTCCAGCCCGTAAGCAACCTCTCTAACTGCCCACCTGCTAAAGACCTATACAGGAAGATCTGCCCATTACTCACCTTTGCAAAACCTCTGTTTCAGGTCCCGTTCCCAGATCCATGCACCTGTGTAAATAAAATCACTTACTTTTTTATCCATCGTCTCAGTCTCTGTTTGTCATTAGTATTTACTCACGTCGACCTCTTCCTGCCAACCTGATAGAATGCTTCAGCCAAGTCATATGACCGTGATCAGTACTACTGACAGACTCTTGGAGCCACAAATCAACCCGAATCAAAAATAATTGATCATGACCGAAAGCTTAATCAGTTATATTTAGCACAACAGGAAACCAGAACTTTATTAGATCAGATCACTCAACATATCACTGCCCTCGATAGTAAATTAAATACCGTTGTTCCTATTAATCCTGTTGTACCTCCAGCTACCACGCCTCCCTCTCCCCCACCTGTTATGCCTACTAGAGAACCAGACATCTGACCTTCTGAGTTTTTTGATGGGGACATAAATCAGTGTGCCGGGTTTTTGCTCCAGTGTCGGTTAGCCTTTGCTCGTTCCCCGTCATTTTTTTCTACCCACTCAGCCAGAGTAACTTATATTGTTTCTGCTTTAAAAGGAAAAGCCCTCAGATGGGCTCAAGCGTTTCTCTCCGCAAATTCCTCTGACACTCTCACCTCTCAGCGTTTCATTCAAGAGTTCCAGCATGTGTTTGACCATCCCCTCCAGCAGGAGGAGGCAGCAAAGCAGTTAATCAACCTTCAACAAGGTAATAAGTCCGCGACGGAACACTCCGTGGATTTTCGAATTATTGCCGAGGAGGCCAGCTGGGAGGAACTCTCTTTAAACGGCATTTATGTAAATTCCTTATTGGAGCAGCTAAAGTATCAATTGGCTTCCCGGGATGAACCCAGAAGCCTGGATGAATTAATCGCTTTGTCTATACGTATTGATAATAGACTGAAAGAACAAAAGAAAGAGAGAAACTACATTTCCCAGAATCCCCGGGTCTCCTCTCTCCTCATCAGTGGTGAGTTTCCGCCTTTTAACGCTACAGCTGCTGCTAATTCCACCGAGCCCATGCAAATTGGACACACACGTTTGACTCCAGAGGAGAGACAGAGACAGTTTGCTGCTAAACTGTGCATTTACTGTGGCAACAAGGGACATTTTGTCGCCACTTGTCCGCTACGGGGAAAACGGGACGTCTCGTCAGTAGAACAGGGGAAGCTGACAAGACAGGACAATTTCTCCCCTAACTCTTTTTTCTTCCTTCCCGCTACGATAGTTTGTGGGCAAACCAAACTACCAATTTCGACCCTTGTGGACTCTAGTGCTGAACAGAACCTAATCTCAAGTGATTTAGTGGAACAACTGGAAATCCACACATCTCCACTCGATCCTCCACGCTCCATCGCCGGCGTCATAGGACAGCTCTTGTCCCAGGTCAACAGATTTGTCCCCAGCCTGCACGTTATTGTGTCAGGAAACTACCATGTTTTGGGTGAGTTTGTGGTTTTTGATTCTACCTCTCCACAAATTATTTTTGGTTTCCCGTGGCTGTCTCTGCATAACCCAGTCATTAATTGGAAGGAAGAGAGGGTCGAGAACTGGAATAGCTTTTGTTTGCAACATTGTTTAAAGTCAGCTGTATCAGTCTCCTCTGCTGAGAAAACAGATAAAGACACTAACATCTTGCCGACCTCCTGCTTCGTGGGAACTCTCTCCTGGGACATCGAGAACACGATTCGCCTGGCTCAACAGTCTGAACCCGACCCTGGCTCTGGACCTCCTGGCACTAGATTCATTCCTAGGAACATTGGGCCTCATGCAAGAACCATTCGTACGCACAGATTTGTTCTTAAATTGTGCGTACGAGTGATTTAGGAGAATTTGTGGCATTCACCAATGTTTTCGTATTCTAAGATTTTTTCAGATACGAACAAAATTTACGAGTGGTCCAGACCTGTCGTATACTGTATTTTACGAGCAGTCAGTCTGCTGTTATCCAGACGGGTTTTCCTCCATAATAACTTTATAT